ACTGACACAGGGGCACACTGCCTATAACTGACTGGCATAGGGACACACCGACTATGACTAACTGCCAGTTTGCTGACAAAATCACTAGATCGGGTCTTCCCTTCTCCTTGGTGCTCTCTGATCCCAGTGTCTGTCGACGTGATCTCTGAATGACTTCATCGTTCCCAGAACTGAGTTATCAGTCTGCTTCATGTGACCCTCTGGAACATTTTCAGCTTGTGAAAAAGTACAGGTTTGGGGTCGCTTGCTGCGAGAGTGGGTTTGAAAACTATACCAGCATGCACCAGGGCTGGACCGAAGGGGGGCCGGCATTTTTTCGGCCTTGATGGAGAAAGAGCATTTTCAATTTGCACCAAGGCTCACTTCTGCAGCTCTTGCCATACGGTTTTGTCAGGCCGTCATGTGTTTGTTTCACAGTCTGAGCCTGGTCTAGGTCTGGCTGCAAAACTCATCCTCCCATCGCTCCACCCCTTATCCCCCGCCCTCTCCCCCCCTCCTGTGGTGGATCTGTCTCCCTCTGTGGTTTGTGAAAGTGGGTTAGGTGTAGTGTTACAGCCAGCGGCCCAATTAAAAATTAAAGGCGTCTTCATTCTCGGATGCCCTACGCTGAGGACAACTGTGTTGCCCTCTCTCTCCCTCTGGTAACCCAGCTCGCTGTACCCCTTCTGACTCCGACATCAACGAACATTTACCGTGCATCGCTCTTGCTTGGAATTCGATAGCCATTTTCTGCAGAATTCTCCCTGTCCTTTATTTCTCCTTATACTTACGGCTGCTGGGGAAAAGGGACAGGCCCTGGAGTGACCTTGCAGGCCTCATCATCATCATCAGCCAGCTTGGACCACCAGTTCCCTAGAGGTTGCGCACATTGACTGAGCAACTCAGGACTGGGAGGGGTCAAAGTTCACCAGGGGCTCTGTGGCTGTGAGCTCCCAGATTTGGTTGATACTGACAGAGAGGCCCGGGAGCGTGCAGTGACTTCAGTGAGATTTGCATCAACCCCTTTTCACTGTCATTGATCTCCAGTGTTGCCGTGTGGGGAGGAAATGATCGTACCTGAGTGCAAGTAAGATGTCAAGAGATTTAAGTCAAAGTCTGGGGGAGGTTATAAACAAAGCAATCTGATGACCTCTGGCAGCTCTGAAAAGCTGGGAAGAAGGAGCCTTGTCTTGACAGACAGAGAACAGCCACTATGTGACACACTGTGATGTGACACACTGGACAATCACAGCCTGACTGTGTCTGCGGACGGAAGGCCAGTTTATCATGGAACCACAGAGGGAAGGATTAAACAACAGGGCAAACTGGAACAGACACAGAATACTCAATCAAACTCTGGGGGGGAGAACATGCAAACTCCACACAGACAGTCCACCTCAGACCAGAATCAAACCTAGAACCCCCCCATCGTGCATAAAACAAACCTTTGTAGGACGAACCTCAAAGACAAACTTGTTTCCAAATTAAAGTAATTAACCCCCTTTCTTGGAGCAGGTACAAATCTCGCTCACATTCACACTCCACTTCTAGTTGACTCACAGAAGGTTGTTCCGGCTTTCATTCTAACTAAGCGCCCGATTACGTAATAGATTCTAATTCTAAGCAAGATCAGCTATGATTAACACGATCATTAATCACTGACTGAAAATTCCTATACGAGACCGAAGACCACAGGAATGCGGTTGTTCAGTAGCTTCGCCGCCGTCTCTCGACGCTGTACAAATCCAACAGACTAATGTCTTTCTAGGAGTGTCCTCTAAGACGGTACAGACCTCCAGCAGCCTGTTAATCTTGACCTCAGTGTCGTCTTTATTTTGCGAGATTTAACTGCGTTGATTCTATTTTGAACCTGATTAAAAACAGAACCATCCTCTTTCCATCTACATCATTCACTGGAGGCTGAGATTGGGTACAGAAATATCCCTGAGTGGGAGTGTTTCAAAACTCCTGCAATTAAGTTTGAGATAGATATATATATATATGCATATATATGATGCATTTTACTGCTGAAAGGACCAATCCATTATATATGAGTGTTTTTTCAAAAGCTCAAACCTGCCACAGCTGTTTCGCCCCGCATTGAATCAGCTTGAATCAGCCACTCTGACAGGCTCTTCAGCTCCACTAACCTGACACTCGACTCCGCACAGTTTCCCTGCCTCTGGAACCGGCTCAATGCCAACCCCAATCCATCGCCATGTGGGTCACCACTGGAGCGCCCCGAGATCTGTCCTGCTCGGATTTCAGAAGCTCGGGGAGGGCGGTGGGGGCGGGGTGTGTGTGTGTGTTGGGTGGGGGAGGTGGGGGGGAGGTGCTATTGGGAAAAACGAGGCCGTCTGCGGACAGCGACGCGGTGTCAGAGAAAATTCAGAACCAAGATCTGCAGGAAACGTCATCTTTCATGGGGGTTAACATGAGGCCTTGTCCGCTCCAGGCCCCTAAAGATCTCACAGTAGCGGTAAATAAACTACGGCTTAGGATTTTTCCACACAGCCTTTCGAGCTTTCGGGCTGTGGTCTAAGTGGGCTTCCCAGCCCTTTGGCTCCTGTTCCGCAGCTCGTGCTTTTTATCCCCTTAGTCTTTAACTCTTCTGGGCTGGTGCGCTAGTACTGGTACTGGGCTGGTACAGTAATGCTGTACTGCGCTGAAGAACACCTGACTCTTCTAAATGGTTTAGAGCATTTAAGTGGGAAAAAGTGATTGGCATTTCTAAACGAGTTATTACAATGTTTAAAAATGCAAGAAGAGAGGCACATTGGCGCAGGCGCCAGCATCGCTGCCTCACAGTGCTGCGACCCTGGGTTCCAGTCT